TGTCCACAGATACGTTTTTTAAATTTCTGCAAGTTTCACCAGTGTATTGTGAGGAACAATTCTGGCAATTTATTTTGTATATACCTGCTTCAGAATTATTGTTGTTGTTTATATTTTTGGTTCTGATCATATCCATGATAGTTTGGGATGGGCTTACAATTATTTTCATGTTGTTCAGATTGGATAGATTGTTTTAGATAGGGGCGGTTATGGAGTTCGTAGGTCGTATTATGTATCTGTTGTTATCTAGTTAACTGTTGTTTATAACTGTTGTGAAGTAAATAGTAAATTCCCGGTGACTCTATGAACGCGTCCAATACTATAAAGAGCTCCATGGTATGAGATCGTGAGTAGTCGCATCGGATTCAGGCAGTTCGCTGCCAGGGCCGCGACAGGCAAAACCTCTATGTTGGGGGGAGAGTGACTCTGTCGGTGCTATGTTTTCGGATAGTGACTCAGATGAGAAAACAGACAAATAATATACCCTAGCCCGCTTTTGCGGGTGCTGGTTAAATTTTGACCAATGGCCCGGGTGGAAACGCTCAGATTCCCCACAATAATCCCAACCTTATTTCACTATTCATCTCAATGGGGGTAATGAGTAGGTACCAGTCGTATTGGAGTCAGTCTTTATACTAACTATACAGGTGTTACAGCAGTAGCTTAAGCATCGCAATAGAGAATATTTAACGAATTACGTTATACCAAATACGAGTGCGTGGTATAACAATATACCTTCAATAGGAAGTAATAATAATAGCGTTTTTATATTTCTCGCGGTTGTATATTTTATGTGCCTTTCTTTTGGCATCATGGATGAAATGATAACGACATTGAACCTTTTTTTAAGGTGTTTTACATATATACATCTTACTTGGGTAAGTAATATGGGCTGCAGATTCTTAGCGCTCTTAAATAGAATCCTATAATCATACCCGATTTGATTTTATTACAGTGGTCGGAGTAAAAACTGACGAGGTAATTCTCTTTAGAATTATCCTATACCAAACAATTTTGAAAAACCAATAACATTTTTGCTCTTGTATATAGATACTTGTCAAAAATAAAATCCTTACATTTGCCTTGATAAAGTCCCTCAGAGGACGAAACGCGTCGCCTAAGATAAATTTTTCTTTTGTCTATATTCATATTGTCGTTTTACGCACACACGCATATATATATATATATATATATATATGCTCCTGAAAAATTTATTTATTGTCAGTTGAGCTCTCTGGGGTGGAAGTGTGGGTTTGTAAACAGTGACTATTACGGCTAATAATGCATGACTCTTCGGTAAATCGAATCGAATTCTCTAAGTCACTGTGTGTTTATCGAAAATAAATACGCTTAAATTCGCTTTCGTCCGTGCCGTGCGCCAACGGCTTAGTGGTAGAATCCCGACTAACACCAATACAGTCGGGTTTCGGTCCTAGCTAGAGGCAACCGGACGTCTAGCCACACTGTTGAGCTGTGATACAGCTAAGCCTGTCTGTGGATGACTATATATATATGTGTGTGTAAGGATAGAATTTATCTAGGAAAGACCTTCTTTTTTTTTCTTTTTCTTTTTTTTTTGTGTAATTTTCCATCGCTTTATCAGGGTTTACAAATCGAAATTTTGGATTATTACAGTCGACAGTTCTTTATCTGCCATAAACGAGACCTACTCTAGGATCTGAAAATTCATGAAGAAGCTTTAAACAATAATCTCATAATTAAGGCTGCGATTATGTTGTGTATACTTTTTAAACCGAAGTAATCAACGATGGAGAGAAGCAAAACACTCGATTAAAACACGACGACGATAGAAAATTATTCCGGATGGAAGATAAGAAGAAGAAAAAAAACACGGCTGGTTATAAATTTGCGATATCGTATAGAATTCATATTGATTTTGATCTGTAGTTGAGAGAGGGGAAAGCAACGAAAAGGAAGTCAATTTATTTGGAAATTGTTTTAGCTAGTTTGGTTAATTTAAAGAGAAAACTTCGCTTGTTAGCTTATGTGACGTTGAATATAAATATTATCAGACAAAAATCACAGTTACTAAAAGAGTTTCACAAGCGTGAAGTGCGAGAAAATAAACTATTACCATAGAACCCACGGTTACATCTAGCAATTTCAACAATAAAATGGGGAAACCTAGATGTCAATCTAGATCTGCGCTTAAGCCGAGGTGCCAGAGAAAAAAAAATCTCATGAAAATAATCACTATGAAAATATTTATAGAAAAGACACAAGAAAGTTAGAGAAGCGACCGAAACCGGGATGCCATGTTAAGACTGATAATATTGCTGATAATATGTCAATAGAAAGCATTAGACCAACAAGCCACAATGAGTTACTCTCCTGGAAGTTAGCATCAGCCAAATAAATCAGCAAATATTAGGTTGTCACGCATGAAATGACGCATTTTTTGGTTGGTTGCTGATTCGGTCGTCTAACGTAGTAACTTCTTTAGTATATAAAAACATCTTGACTTATTCCTAACTCTCTTTCTTTCCAGATAAGTTTTCTTTCAAGATATTGCCCAATCATAAGCCCAATGAAAATGATTACAATGAAACAATGTCGAGTATTCTATATATATGAGTACAAACTGGAAAAAAGAACTATTTTTGCATCGAATCATTACGTGCGATGAGAAATGGATACTCTTTAACAACATTAGAATCACCAAAACAATACCCAAAACCTCCACTACACGCTAAAGGTTAATGGTTACTGTATGGTGGTATTCCAAAAGGGTTATTCGCTATTCATTCTTGCCTCGAGAGAAACATCCTCGACTTGTGGCCCAATTTTGCTTCTCAATCAACTGTCCAAAAGCTGCATAACCCGAATTATGAAATTTTGCCTCATCCTCCACATTCGCATATCTCTCCTACTGATTATCACTTATTTAAGCATTTTGAGCTTTTCATACGCAATATAACATTCACCAATACTGAAGAGGTCATCGAAGCATTTGAACTGTTTATCATATCAAAGAATGAATTTTTTTTTAAGATGGGATCAAGAATTTAGACTTACGATGGAGAATAGACATTCATCAACATAGTGTCTATTTCAGCTAAATAAATTAGTTATTTATCATTTCATAAGCGTTTTATTCATTTATATCTATAATTCTCAAAATGTGTGTGTATGTATGTGTGTATGTATGTGTGTGTATGTGTGTGTGTGTGTGTGTGTGTGTGTGTGTGTGTGTGTGTGATCGGATGTTGTTTATATCATTCCGATATCGATGATTTTTTGTTTGTTCGATAGATAATTCTTCAGTGCCGGTTTTGAGTCCAAATTGTTGGCGACAATGGCTCTCCACTACTTCCAGTCCATTATAACTCTCAGCAACGTTTCACTATTTATTATCTGTTCTTGGATATATATCTTGCAATAATATTATCTATATCTATAATTCTCAAAATGAGTGTGTGTGTGTGTGTGTGTGTGTGTGTGTGTGTGTGATCGGATGTTGTTTATGCGTTTCCACGGTTTTCATCCGAACGCTTCTATGCGCGAGGCTGAAAATGATGATCAAATGACACAACATCTGAGGAGAAACGCCTTTTCAACTGCGGCTACGCGTGAGGCTGAAACAAGATGGAGAACGCAAAAACGGCCCTTTTTAGGACCCTCCCCACCCCCGCATTCAAATTGTTACCCCAGCCTATTTGGGGATGTGCCTCACTTGCACCTAATTGTTGTTACTAATATCGATTTTCGGGTGGGCTGATTTTAAATTTAAACTGCTCCAATTGAACGGCAAAAATTCCCTGTAATGAAAGACTTAGTCAAAGGTGGGTTATACTGCTAGTTTCCTATAAAGGGATTCATTTCATGTGTGACAACGTAATGATAATAGATAAGAACTTTAATATGATAAGACGACAGTATATACGTACATAATGTGTCAGAGGGTAGGTAAAAAATAATGACTGTTCCTCTTTAATTAAGACAAATTTAATAATCGAGAAACACAAGGCATACCAAAATGAGTTAAAAAAAAAAAAAATCTCCGGGTTCGAAATCTAATCCTCAAAATAGTAACTTTACATCCCAACTATGTGATTTCAGAAATTATGCAAGTGACTTAATAGTTAACAGCACTGGAAATAGAATCAGTGAACTGATTTCAAATTCTGATTTAGGCAACTTTCTTCCATTCGTATTGATACCATTGCGAAATGCACGGATTCCATCCAACCTCCAGTTATAGATAAATAAAAGACAAAATTATTTTTTTAGCCTTGGTCTTTGGTCGGCCATGTGTAAATAATAGAGCAGATAATGGTTCTTTATCTTTGACTGTTAACCAATCTAGACGGACAATTCTGATTCCAAACCAGAAGTGGATTTTTAAGATGCAATGGTTCCAAGTCTTAGATCAGGGATTATTAGTACCATCTAACCTAACAGAAGTTATTACGTTACTTTGTGATAAGATTGATATCATTCACGTGACTCTCGTTGTCATGAACAATTCTTCCCAAGAAAATGGAGTTACAACCTATGGCAACACGAACTAATAGGTTAAATGTTGAATTGAAACTTCAGAACACATCTGAGTGGAAGCAGACAGACTCATCAACTTGAATTTTAAGCCTTTTTTTTAAATAATAATAATAATAATAATAATAATAATAATATGATGTCTCAGTGTGCATAAAAACAAGCCAACACAAACCTGATTAATGATGACAGGAAAAAAACTATTATGTCATCAAACTCAAAATGTAAAAAGCCAATTTTCTTTCCTGTCTCAAATTTTTAAAAACTATCAAATGAACGTTTCGTAGATCGATGACAAGCGAGTTTAGCTGACAGGTCATTTACTATGCATAGTTAGTTCAATCCTCATCGGGCATCCTGCTATTATTACTCAGTCTATGCATATCTAGTAAATATTTTAAGGTCGCCTTTTCTACAGACGTCCAGACCATTTGATTTGGTCTATGCTATTTGATTTAACTGGGAAATAGTTATTGCTGTTGAGCTTACGGCCATATTACGTTGAAACACAAGTTCACGTACGATCACCGAAGTTAAGCAACGTCGAGTCTGGTCAGTATGTAGATGGGTAACTGTTTGGCAATACCATGTCCTGTAAGGTTGGGTGTCCTGTTAGTGCAGCGGTTCTCAACCTTTTTTTACCCATGGACCCCTTTCCCCTTCTTTTTATCTTGGTGGACCCCTTCATAGCTATTGGACATAAGAACAATTTTCTATTCTTCACTAATATAAATTTGTGTTTTGCCTGTGGACCCCCGAAAATATTACATGGACCCCTAGGGTCCATGTGGACCCCGGTTGAGAACCACTGTGTTAGTGTAATGAATAATGGCTCGGAATTGTTAATCGGAGAACCGAGTTCCAATTTCCAGTTGGGTTCGTTATATTCACATACGCACAAATACCCTTGGAAAAGGTATAAATCCATCTCTTCTCCCTCTAGCTATGGGTTAATTAGTATATTGCTAAATCATTATTATCTCCAAAAAATTCTCACACGCTAAAAATATTTTCTGAATTTAAATAACCTATAAAGGATTGATAAGACGTAAACAATGAATCATTCAAGCCAAATCAAATTGTGTGTCGACCGTTGTCCCGATCGGTTTTCTTGAGATATCTGTCGACCCAAATGATCTTCAGGGAATTTTGACTGAACTCTTTATCTATACGAGTACATTGTTCTCCTTCCGCTGACAATGACTAAAGAAATCTCGTCTTGTTCATTTTTAGTACTGTTCAATTATTGCTTACCCCTGTTTACACTAAGCCTACGTTTGTACCACCGAAACAATAGTGTAGTAGATTAAAGCGTTGGTTCATGTATTTGGTAGCATAATAATTGTTAGTTCAGTCCCTGAGCTTGGTACTAAAGATTCAGACTCAGTAGAAACAGAGGCAATACTACATAAAAGAACAAGACGGGATATAGCCAGCAGGTCAAGAGCGATCTACCCCCGTAGGTAAAGGATTAAGTTCGAAAGACCTTTAAGGTTACCCGAATTGGTATGCACTCAAAGAAAACCAGTAGGAAGCACAACAGCCGAAACGTTGGGATAACAGCAACAAACATGAGATCATTAGTCCGAATGTAAATAATTTGAATAAACATAACTTATATCAGGGATTAAGCTAGAAATTTACCTGACGGACACAATGACGAAACAAGTCGAAACAACTATTTTCTTTCTGTTTTGTGGGCCGCTATTTGGAGATAGAATAAAGAAAACATTTTCGTAAATAAGAAAAAAACAATTTTTTTTTGTTAACATTTCGTGAAAATCGTTACCATAAAAAAATTAAAAGAATTAGTCGCCTGGTGGATATGCGCCCAATCCGTCAGGAAACTAACGCTTCTATTTCCTGTCAAAAGAATCTGAGATTGTTACTGAGAACTCCAATATCTCATCTGAAGCCTTACCTTCGTAAAGCTACAGGAAGCACTTAGACAATATAAGAATGTTTTTCAGTTATTAATATTTTACAGAAGTCAAAACAATCACAACAGTTCTTTGTTGTCAACAACTTGAATAATTGAAGAGGACTGCGTCACAAATGTTCAGCTTTAGTCGATAAAATAACAACAAAACATATAGTTTCGTAAACACTCAAAAGCAAAACAAAATAGATGTACAGTTTGCACAATTTTCACTTGACGTTGAATTAGAATAAAGTTCTATGCGCGCCTGACAAACTATATTCAGTAGGAAAAACTATTCTTAGTCAACGCATTTCATCCCATGTTTAAACTCATGGCTAGCCCTTTAGAAAGTCGTCAATCCATCACTTTTCTACATCTATAGATTAAACATCAGTGTAAAGAGGGTCGCTTCAACTTGGCTGATATCAAGTTCTAAGAAAAAGAAAAACCGTGTAGACAATTACGGGAAACTACTTCACTATCTTTCCCAAAAAGGCGTAGAAATTCACAGAAAATAGTAAAAGGAATCTGCTGAGAGTCAACATTGCCAACGTCATCAAGGACATGATAGTGCATATATATATATATATATATATATATATATATATATATATATATATATATTCTAATACGTTATTTTATTAGATACAATTTAAGTAAATGCTCTCTTATTTAAATAAACAATATTAATTACATTTACCGACCTGAATGTTCGAGGAATTTCATATAAAATATGTGCTTTTCCTCTAGGAATCGAATCTGTAACCCTAATGTGAGCCTTGAATTTGATCTGTCTTTCTCTTCTTTTTTTTATCACCATTTTTTCATTTTCACTCAATAACTTTTTTGTTTACTTTATGAAGTTTGTTTAGTCCTTTTGCAGATTTTTGTGTTATTTTGTTTTTCCTCTGCCACAAATGCATTCCTTTTAGATAATAAAAACTTATCTTTTCTTTCCGATTTTCATTGGACGATATTTAAATGGTACTTTGGGTAAAAGGTAAACTTTTTCAAGAGAAATCTCTTCAACTGATGTAGTCTCGTAAATTGGAGACACAATAATTTGACCAAACTCTACCGTCTCAACTTTAATAACAGAATTGCAACATCTATTTCAATCAAAAGCTGAAAGTGCCAATGAAACACATTCTATAGAAGTCATTCCAGGTTGACCACGTCACATACATAATAATGAGATCATTTTATAAAAGTGATTGAGTCGTTTGGTTGGTTTGGTTATTTTAGTTTAGCGGGATACCAACACCTCTATGGGTAATTTAATACAAAAAACGAAATATAAAAATTCAAGTTTTATAATTAATTCAAGTGAATGACATTATTTTATGAGTAAATTATAATTATTCAACTGCATTTTTTGCCAAATAATCTTACAAAATCAAAAAAGGTGTGAAAACTTGTTTCTCCTTACAAGAATTGAGATTAATCATAGACATTTTTTAATTGTGTTTTTATTTTATTTTTATTTTTATTTATTTACTTTTTATTTTTTTCTATTTATTTATTTTTATTTTATTTTTTTATTTTTTTGACAATGTATGCCATGTCTTCAATTTTACTATAAAATATATTGATCATCATTTTTCTATGAAATGTATTGTTGGTATTTTATTATAAAATATATTGTTGATAATTCTACTATAAAATGTATTGCTAGTCATTTTGCTATAAGAACGTATTGTTGGTAATTTTACTATAAAAATATATTGCTGGTAATTTAACTATAAAAATGTATTGTTGGTAATATTAAAAAAGATGTGTTGCTGATATTTTTACTATAAAAATGTATTTTTATACTTTCTGTTTTTGTTTTTGTTTGGGGTTTCACAATTTGCCTGTAGCTAGGACTCTAACAGGTGCCATCACCCCGGGTCCGGGTGGATCTGGAAACAGCAGTAATTAAGAGGTGGATCCACGTTCCTCAAAACATCCAATCTCCATCTCAGTGACCTTGCCTCCGGAGGTAGTTTATCATCAGACCCCGAACAGATGAATTAGTCATGGATAGGCATTGTATATCATTGCTAATTTTGTAATTTGCGAAGTCATTTTGTCAATCTACCTTGCTACACATTACGTAAAACAAAAAAAAAGATTCTTGAGGATAAAGAACTTAAGGAAGACTCTTGATCTCAATATAATTGAACCATTGTGGTGGAAACTGAAGAAATAAGTGCTTCAACAAGAAACATACATTCTCCAAGTGTTTGAGATTACTGTCAAGAAGAATGGTCAAAAACTTCTTAATGAGAAGATCTGGACTTTTTTTCATTCGATGTCACTCAATTATTTGAGCGAAAAGCAGCATCCCTATTTATCAAATCCATACTTTGCCGTTTTTTCTTCTTTTAATAGCAAAGACCACTTTTCGCAACAGCAAAAAAATAGCCTTTTTCACCGAAGAAAAGAGCTTAAAAGGTGAAAATTTTGCTGTTGGCCCAGTATATTTGCATGACTTTTTCTTGAGCGTCACGAAGCTTAAAATGTACTATCATCCACTATGCAGCTTTAAGACAACGCAATAGCTTGTTTTCTTACACTAAGAGATCATAAAACGTACCGAGAAAAGCAGACTGATAATCACTCGAGATTTGGGTAAAATTAACAAAAGTAATTAATTTACCAATATGGTTCAAATGTTTTGCACGTTAGTGTACACAGTGGTCCGAAAGTCTTGTCACCCGATAACAAAAAGTAGTGAGAGCAACAAAACAAGTAATTCGGTAATACAAAGCACATGAACAAAATTCAGTTTATTCACTTTCGTTGGCGCTGTCACACATCGGAAAGATCTGTATAAACGCCATCATTTTCGTATGAGCCATCTGAAATAGAAAATTATATTATATAGGGTGAGAAGACTTTCAGACCACCCAATATATCTATTTTTTTTTTAGCTAGGATAAGGTGATGCAATCAGTGCGGTAGGTTGATACGGCATACAAAGTAGCGCCACTTTCAATATACCAATCAGCTTCAAAACACAGTTTTGTTTACATTGTATTTCAAGAAGAAATTCTGGCAAAAACTGAACAAAATAAGGTGTATATATATATATATATATATATATATATATATATATATATATATATATATATATTGTTTGTTGACACTTCTCATAAACAAACTGCACTATCATCAATCGTGCATTACAATATGAACTAATCACACGTTTGTCAAAGTGAAAATATTACTCTAACAGAGTGAAAAAAAAAAACGTTTTTCGTACAAAACCTTACATGCTTACAGCACATGGTTCAAACTTTCAATAAAATGGCGAAGACTTTTCTGTTCAAAATGAGGCTAACTGTGGCGCCATCTAGTGGTGGAAACAAAACTCAGTGCTGACACATGGTCTTTACCGCATGTTTGTTTCTATATTTTTAAATCCTAAACAATCGTTTTCTTCCGTCATAAAGATTTTTGGTATTGCTACCTCCTTGTTTGTTTTTAATATCTCTTCTGCGTCTCAGGAAGCTAAGGATTAAAAAACAGTGAGAAAACTGAATAGCTCTCAAAGATAATTAAAGATTTTTCTACTACGATGTTCTTTATTTCCTTCTGTTACGTTTATTTTTTCAAATATGATCGCAGCAATGAGGAGAGAATGTATAAATTCACCGCCGTAGGAAAACTTTTCTGAGAGGATTTACAATAAGGATGTACTAATCCAGGCAGGATCACTGCATTAGGAAGATAAAAAAAAAACAGGACGTTTAGATAGCACAACGGTTGTCGATGTGGAAAATGGAATCGGTGAGTCTAGTTCCCTTCCGCACAAATGTCATTGAAGGGATCCAGGAAGGCAGGAATCCATATCTCCTGTCTTCAGCTGTGTGTGAAATAACAGAGTAGACTGGGTTCCCTAGCTGTGTAGAAGCCAGTTTAAGTGGATGATGAGTCTGAATTCCAAACCGTGTTGAGGTTAACGGGAAATCACTCCACTATATTTCCCAAGAAGACATGGCGATTCACATATAGAAAAAGGGAATCTTTTGAGAGTCATCATCGCTTACGTCCTGAAGGGACATGGCATTTTTCAAAGAGACAGAAACTTTCGAATCTCCAGCATGGTTAAGGATAGAGATCTGCTTTCTTGCCTTTAAACACGACACGTAAATATTAAATATAATAAACAGATGCTTAAAATTAATTCCACATTCAATAAACTAAAAGATGAATTTTTTTCTTTATATTACAAGTGCGTATGCTCATGTATGACTGCACATGCGTAGAATAGGTTGATGCACAATTCCCTTTTTTTCTTCATATTACAAGTGCGTATACTTATGTATATGCGTAGAACAGGTTGACAGACAGCTATATGTACAGGGTGGGAATCGCTTACAATTAAACACAGCTTGATAGACTCTTTGAGCAATAATCGTTAATACATTAGCAGTTGACCAAGACAAGCAAAAACCATATTGCTTATCAGTAGAGCCTGCAAGGTGTGGTGGTCAAGCAATTCAATGTTGATTAGAGCCTCTAGTATTTTGCCGGTAGTTAGAAGTGTCTGGGTTCTTAAAAACTGGCATAACAGGAGAGGATTTTCAACAAGCCGGGAATAAAGACATTTATTGTAGTTTTTAGAGGGAGCAGGAGCTAGTTCAGGAGCACATTTCGTAAGCACTATTGCAGGGAAACTATAAAGTCCACATGCTCTATGGGTCCATTTTAGGGATGGTAGGGGAAAGCATAGACGGTGTTATATGCATATCACTCAATAGAGACTCAGTTCTCAATGAAAAGTCAGTCAAAATATCTCAGATGAAAGTCAAGAATAGAATTTGAAGAGAATTTACGAGCAAAACATTCTGCTTTACCCGCAGATATGGGGTAGAATACTTATTCTTATTTAAAACATTATTACAGAACCGCCAGTAGTCACGAGAACCAAACTAGTTAGAGACTACACATTACTTCATTCTGTCAGCAAAGACTTAGCTTCTTTGAGAACACGTTTACAATCACTACGAGCAAACACAAAGAGGCGTCTGTTGTAATCGGAACTATCACGTTGAACAGCCGGAAAAATGTGATTCCTGTCATTTTTAGCGGCTGAACAGGCTAGTGTGAACCAAGGAGAAGAATGTAGTTTCACCTAATATTTCTGAGAAGGTACAAAAGTATCGATACCGGCTTTAACTCAAGAAGAAAACTTTGTGGCACAATTCTCAATAGGAAAGTCAAGAATATCAATCTAAGGAACGTCACGACGAAAGTCACGTTATGAATCCCAATCAGTACGCTGGTAACAGAAAGAAGTCGTGTGAATAGGAGGTGCCTTGCTAATAGACGACTGAAAAGAATTATGAACAGATACTACTGCGTGATCTTAATTGCTAAGAGGACAGAGTTGTGATGCTCGATAAGAGCCAGGAGAGGAGGTAAGGAACAAATCAAGTAAAAAAAAAACATATATATCAGAATTATTAGAGAAACGAGTAAGGAAATCTACTATTTGAGTGAAAGACTAAGCTATATAAAAATTGAAAGTCTGAATACCGGTACAATCAGTAACATTAGAATGATTTATCCCCATCTCATACACACACACACACACACACACACACACATATATATATATATATATATGTATGTATGTATGTATAAGTGCGCAGGTATGCAGAAAATAGAAAAGAACACGTTGGGTGCATAATCCAGAGTTCCTTAGTATTTTTATTTTTAAGAAGACAGTGCTCCATACAGAAGTAGAGCTTTATTATAATAATATTTTTTTGTTTAAAAATATGATTCCTTTGCTACATAAGAGTTCTCATGTTTCAAAAACGAGAGCCGAAACCATCCCAATAATTATTAAAATTAAGTTGAATTGAGGTGTTTAGTCCCGTTTCATCTTCAAGCGAAATTTTAGGAATAAGCTATCTCTCGGTTTACGTGTGTTTTTAGTCATGGTCCGTTACAAAATTCATTATTGTGGGAGTGGCTAGATTATTTTTCTTCGTTAAATGGTCATGCTTCGTGTATATATATATATATATATATATATATATATATATATATATATATATATATATATACAGATGTTTTTATATTGATGCAAAATTGGGATATAAACAACAATTCAGTCCAAGATCATGCATATCAATACAGTGTATACTATTAAATCATTGTGTTTATATATGTACCTATATATCTCTATATATACATATTACTTAAAACGTTTTTATAGAATTTGAGATCGACGCCCTAGAGAAAGAAAGACGAAAGTAAAGAAAGAAAGGTTATAAATTAAAAATAATTTTATAAAAAAATGAGATAAGAACACGAGAGAAAGAAAGAAAGAAAGAAAGAAAGAACACTAAAAATAGGAAGGAACGAACGAACGAACGAGGGAATTGAGGAAGGAAGTAAAAAGGCAGGAAAGAAGGAAGCAAGAAGGAAGGAAGGAAGGAAGGAAGGAAGGAAGGAAGGAAGGAAGGAAGGAAGGAAGGAAGAGAGTGGAAGGAAAGAAGGAAGGAAGGAAAGGAAGGAAGGAAGGAGGAAGGAAGGAAGGAAGGAAGGAAGGAAGGAAGGAAGGAAGGAAGGAAGGAAGGAAGGAAGGAAGGAAGGAAGGAAGGAAGGAAGGAAGGAAGGAAGAGAGGGGAAGGAAGGAAGGAAGGAAGGAAGGAAGGAAGAAGGAAGGAAAGGAAGAAGGAAGGAAGGAAGGAAGGAAGGAAGGAAGGAAGGGAAGGAAGGAAGGAAGGAAGGAGAGGAAGGAAGGAAGGAAGGAAGGAAGGAAGAGAGTGGAAGGAAGGAAGGAAGGAAAGGAGGAAAGAAGTAAAGAAGAGAGTAAGGAAGGAAGGAAGGAAGGAAGGAAGGAAGGAAGGAAGGAAGGAAGGAAAAAAGAAAAAACACTAAAAATAGAAAGAAAACTTTAATTATGTTCAGAATAATGGATTTACAGGATGAAGCAAATAAATGATTCTGCTTACCTTGAATGTGTATTTCGAAATCATTTCCCACGGGTCTATCCATTCTTATATTTTTTTTATCCACTGAGAACGCGGGTCCACTCGGAAAAATCAAAGCGAGAATAGGAAAATAATAAAAAAAAAATAGTGAAAAACTATCGCAACGTCTATTAAAATGATGGATGAAATTCTGAATCCCTCAATGACACTATTGTTGTAGTTGTCACTGATGGATCCACCCCGACAGCGTCGTTATATCGCTATGTATTTATTACGATACGTGTATATATTCTTTATCATCACACACCAATCAGTTTGATCAAAATATAATCCTCTCAGACAAGGTATCCACAACGTCAACGATGATCGTTATCGATCTAACGGAAAAACGGCAAGCGGATGAATGAGCAACCCTGGTTTTGGTTCGAGCAACAAGCATTTTCTAAGACTTCTTTATCCGCCTTCGTTTTCCTTGTTTCTTGTTCTTTCCTTTATCTCTCTCTTTCTCTCTCTCTCTCTTTCTCTCTCTCTCTTTCTCTCTCTCTCTCTCACAAACACACACACAAACTATTTCTCTTTTCTCACTTTTACACGCCTTTATGTTTCATACACATTTGTAGTTATTCTGTCATTCTCGCTTAACTATTTTGCTATCTTTATCCAATCTTTATTTCACTTTCACTTTCATTTTCTCTTGTTTTTTATATTAATCTTTAATGCTTCTTTTTTATTTTTCTTTCTTTTCTTCGTTTTTTCTTTGTTTCTTTCTTTCTTATTTTTATGTTTTATTGTTCTTATTCCTGCAATTTCTTTTAATTTATAATCTTTCTTTCTTTCGCTACTTTTTCTTTTTCTTTTGATTCCTTCCTTTCTTTCTTCTTTCTTTCCTTTTCTTTCTTCTTTCTTTCCTTTTCTTTCTTTCTTTCTTTCTTTCTTTCTTTCTATTGTTTTTACTGTTTAATGTCCTTTCTCATTTTTTATACAATTTAATTTATAGCCGTTTTCTTTTTTTTTATCTTGCTCTTTTTAATTTTCTTGTCATTTTTTTTTATTTTTCATACAATTCAATTTCTAACCCGACTTTTTCTCTCACCTTTCTTTCTTTTTTTATTTTTTTATTGTTCTGTCTTTCTCATTTCTTCATACATTTTCTTTTTTATGACCCGTTTTTCTTTCATTTCCTTCTCTCTCTTTCTTTATTTTCTCTTTCTTTCACTTTCTTTCTCTCTTTGTTCCATTATTTTCCTTTATTTCTTTCATCTACTACCCCTTATTTTTTTATACTTTCTAGCTTTACCGATTTTTTTACTGATTGTAATTTTCGTTCCGTCTTTTAGTATTTTTCATATTTTATTATCTTTTTTCTTACACTGAATTCCTTCTTTTTCATCTTCCACTACTTCTTGATTTCTGAACTTCTTTCTTTCTTTATTTATTTATCGTTTCTTTCTTTTTTTTTATTCTTGGTTTTTCTTGCACTGTATATTTTTTTTTATTTACCGTGGTTTCCTTTGTTGTTTATTTCATACTTTCCTTCATTTCTTTCTTTTATTTTCCTTCATTTTGCATTTTCCTTCTCACTTTCTTTTTTCGTTCCTTTTTCTTTCTTTCCTTAGTTTCTTTCTCGTATTTTCTTTCTTTTATTTGCTTTCATTCTTTCTTTCATGCATTATATTTTTCGGATAAGTGTTCAAATAAGTGTTAAATAATTTATCTTCGTTTTCTTCCTTTTATTTTCTTTCATTCCTTTTTCATTCTTTCTTTCTTTTATACATTATATTTTTCGGATAAATGTCAAAATCAACCAAAGATCAACAGTATCCCCTTTTTTATCATACCATCAATTCTCTCTTTCGTATTGTCAATTTCCATGTTTTTCTTCTCCAGACGAGATGATTGCATTTAATTCAGGACTCGGGTTTGTCTTTCTTATCTCGATGTTCTCTCTACAATACTTTTCATTTATTTTTATTTTTCATCGTTAACTGTTTTTCTTTCAGAGTCCTTCACTCTCTATCTCTCTCTCTCTCTCTCTCTCTCTCTCTCTCTCTCTCTCTCTCTCTCTCTCTTCCCTAG